ATAACTCTGTTGACTTGTCCTGTAGAATCTGAGCAGACCCTCTGCCTTCCTTCACTTTATCTTATCTTCACCCCCTTCAGTTCAAACTGGTAGTGCTTCTGCCTACACAATCCCAAAATCTCTTTATCAAGTGACAGTCTATCTGTATCTTTGGTATTCTCTTAGAAAATGCTCTTCTAATTATTTGCAACATCCCCAGGTTGAGAATTTTCTACATCTTTCTATATCTGGTTCTTTTTCCCTTAAAAATACTTCTTCAATTCATCTCTCTCTTATAACATTTAGCTATAAGCAGTTAGGCATATTCAGGTCACACTATCACATTTTGCTTTGAAATCTCAACTGCATATCTAATTACATTATTCACAATTTTTATTTTTTGCAAAACGCTAGAACACATTTCAGTCAAGTTCTTTGCCACTTTATAGCAAGGATTACCTTTTATTCCATTTTCAATAATCTGTTCCTATTTTTGTCTGAGACAAGAGTGACCCTTAATATCATATTTATACCAAAATTACATTCATGATCATGTATGTTTTCATTAAGAAGTTGGAGACTTTCTATCTCCTTTTCTTTCTGTGCCCTCATGAGAATCATCTTTCATAGCCAATGTCCATCAATAGCCCTTCCTTAGCAACGTGGGTTTTTTCTAGCATGTACCTCAAAACTCTTACTGCCCTCTCTTATTACGCAGTGCCAAAATTGTTTCCACTTTTAAGTATCTGTGACAGCAGCATTCCCTTCTCTGTACCAAAATCCACTTTGATGAACTCAGTCAGGTTGGGAGTTAGGACTTGAGCATATGAATTAGGGAAGATGGGCACGATTCAGTCCATAGCACATATAAAATGCCAGATTGATAGAAGGCATGAGGAAGTTGTAATTTGTTATTCCAGAGTCCACACAAACAGCCTGGAGATCATTTGTTAGATGTGTAGCATATGGACAACCATTGGCCCCTGCAGCAGGCCGAGTGAGCTGATGCTGGTGTCCTCTTCTTCAGACTTCCATTTTGTTCTTGTAGCCATCCTTCACAGCCACTTTCAACTTAGTAAAGATAAATGTGAAGGAGCATTTTCTATCCCTGGTGTACAGAAACACAAAAGAGCCAATGTGTTAAAAGTTTTATAAATTGTCATCATAGAGTATCCCCCTAAAATGAGATACGAGAATGTTGAAAATGACACTCCTCTGACTTATGGAACCGTGATATAGTCATAGAGCTGCTGTAGTGATCTTTAGTTCAGAAAAGCCAAACTTCCAAGCTCTATATTTAGTAATTCCTTAAACAGAGAGGCTGAAGTATGTTTTTCAAGTGAACCACAATCCCACGTCTACTCCAGGGAATCCAAGATCCCAACCAGAGCAGGAATGATGTCAAAATATAACTTTCTCTTTTCATGAGCAAAACACGTTGTGTGTATTTTAATTAATATTTTCTGGAATTTCTTACTTCGTGGCACAAGAAAGTCAAATCAGATTAACTCTACATAATTTTACAGCTGTGGCAGAATGGTCTTGCCATTCCTGGGAGCTACATTCCTTCTGAGCATAGAATTCAGAAATATAATTTGGATAATATTATTACTTTGTATCTTTCCCTAGCAGAAATTAATTAACTTTTGATAGGTTGAGGTATGACTGTCACCTAGTACAGGAAGTTAAATAATTATTAACGAAACAAGAAACAGTTTCCAAATGAGTATATGAAAATTTAATAATATGTGAATTTAAATATTCTTATATATAAAAATTAAGTATTGTTTCAATAATTTATCAGTCATTTAAGTAGATGCTACTATATATCATGCCTTTTCAAATCTTATAATATTTAACACCCATAATAAGTATATCAAGCACATGCTATATTCAGTTTGTAGATAGTAAAACTAATAATCAGCCATGTCTTTACAAAGATTTTACAAGCTTTAAAAATAATTATGCCAGGATCTGAATCTAGGTCTTTTTGGTTATTAGCGTCTTTGGTAATAATTCCTTTTCTTATTCCTCTAAAAATGTATTGTCTCAGGTAAAAATTAATAATACAAAAAGTTATTTTGTGTATATACTAAAATTTTTATGAATTATTTCCTTGAGAAAGGGAATAAATAGAATTTGTAACACAATTTTACAAAATCTCTATTTGTCACATAGCAGTTACTTACATTTTATGTTGCTGATTAAGCAAAATTTATTTTTTGAGATCCCCAAAACTGTCATCCTATCACTTCTAATCACGTGGACTGAGGTGAAAATCTCTGTGGTATAAGGCTCCAGTGTGGCTCCTATAATCCCTACCTTCCGGTGATAACACCTTTCTGCTCTTAAATGTGGGCAGGAACTGAGTTACCTCTAACAGTAGCAGATGACAAATATGAGACCATGTGGTTATGTGAACATGATTACATTACATGAGATTGTAACTGGTCTTGCTGGGAGACTCTTTATGTCATTGGCTTTGAAGAAACAAATTGCCATGTGTTTTGCTGCTACATGGAGAAGATCACAGTTTACAGAGTTGAGTTCGGCCACCAGCTAACAGCTGACAGGAAACTGAGGTCTTCAGGGTAACAGCCTTCCAGGGGCTTGATGAATACTGTCCGGAACCATATGAATGCGGAAGAGGATTCTTTCCCAGCTGAGCTTCAGGTAAGACCATAATCTTGGCTGCTACTTTGATTGCAGCCTTGTAAGACTCTTGTAAGCAGAAGAATCAGCTAAATCCCATTCCGAATTCCTTACCAACACAAACCATAAAATAATTCATTTGCTTTGTTTAATCTGCAAATTTTATAGAAATATTGCTATGTGTCAGTAGAGAACTAATACAATATTATTTCTTACATTTAAACTTTATCACTGGCTATTTATACTATTACAAGAAATTTTAATAATAACTTACATATGCACATACACAATTATATATATGTCTGCACATGCCCCCACAAACATATATATATATATATATATATATATATATATATATATGTATACAAATATTTGACTCAGAGAGAGGTATATCTGACACTTTATTTTGTCCTTAAGTATCTGCCCTCAGAAAAGAACTGAATTTTTATAAATAATAAGAAACCTGGGTAAAGCTTTCCTAGAATATTGGCCAAAAACTGTAAGGCCTTAAGCATTGCCAATTACTAGCTTCCAGAAAATACCAGATTTAGAGGTCGCCGTTGTTATTACAAACTATAAAAATAAAAAAAAATGTTTCAAAATTATTTTTGTGTGGTGAAAGTTTAAAAGCTGAAGTATGAGTTGCCATGGAAATAATGTTTTGTTTACAGCACTTGTCTCTTCTAGAACTCATCCATTAAATGGTAGGAAAGAACCACTTCAATCTTGACATTGTATTACACTAGGAGCTTTCATTACTAGAATAATATTTGTTCATTTCTCAATAAGAAGCATAAAATGTTTCATTGCTCATTTTGTCCATTTGTTTAATAACACTGGTAGGCTTGTTACTTAAATTAAATCCGTCTAAAGAAAATGAATATGTACTGGTTAATGCAATTAAATCCATGTAAATACACTACTGTGGCTCTAAACATTGGCAAATACAACAAACCCTCACTACCATACAGGATAGAATGTTACAGATAATTTTGTGCTTCATAACCAGTGACGATGGTGCCAGAAATCCCATGTTCTTGTTTCTCCTACTTTCTGATAGTTCGTACTAATCAAGATAGGATTGGCATTGAAGATGTAGCAATCTAACGTTTTATTTGTTACTTTCACAAAATCACTGTAGTCGGGGTGAGTTTCTGGGGTATTTGGCTGCTACACAGGAATTAATCAAGGCTGCTTTTGTCTTCTGCTTCCACAGTCTCAACACTGTCTCCTCATTGCCCTGGCAGAGGAATTGAATACTGGAGGAGTTTCTATTGACCCAAGGGACATACGTGATTTCTACTCGCAGCCCTTTGGTTATGGCTTGTTTCATCGTCCTCATTAATTACAAGAAGGCTAGGAGAAACAGGAAAGTGCAGGTTACATTTCCAAGTGTTCCTAACCCTCTCACATCTATCATCCGGGTACAATTTTTCACTGATCTGTACCCACAAGCCAGTGAGAGTATTTTTTTAGCCACCCACAAGCCTGTTCCTTTGGTCTCCCGCACTCTTGAATCTTCTGGTTCTCTTTTCTTTTCTTTTTTTTTTTTTTTTTTTTTTCCCTGATATGAAATACAATTATACATTTTATAACTTTGTCACCTTCTACATGGTATTTCCTTACTTGAGCTTAGATTTCTCTTTTATGGGCTAAGAAGCCTGTACCATTTTAAAATTTAGTCAGTGCTTCAGCGCCACTTAAATAGAAATGCTGCTCTTATCTGCTAGTCCTTTGCTGTCATAATACTACGTGCTATGTGAAGATTTATTATCTAAGTTATCAGACTGAATTTTTCTCATGTACATTTCACATCTCTTTGTATGTGTTTTTCTCTGTCTCATTCTTTAACCGTTCCCTAGTATAAAGAATACAGAATGTGAGCACCCATGTTATGACTACCTGTGCTTCAAAGAGAATGTAGGTTACAGTGTTTACACCATTTATTGTTGTAATAGCTAAGGAGATTAGCATAGTGTTTATGTATATTTAAGTGCTCCATACATAGTACTTTTCATTACCACCAAAACAAAATAGTATTTGGAAATAGAAGATATGACTACTTACAATGCAGAGACTTGGTAGATCACTTCTTTATCGTTTTACTGATTCACAGGGACTATCTGTAAAAGAGTATAACTCATTGATTAGGTAGTTTTCACAACATTAGAAAATTAAACATAACCACTACAATATTCTATGTTTGTGATTACTTGGTTTTGATTCTTTGTCTCATAGGCAAGAGAAATAGTATGAACAGAGGACCGGAATTATAACTAAAAATTCTGTTTTGTTGAATAAGCTGAGGACTTCCTAGAGACGCTGTATGATGTGAAATAATTGCAAATAATAACAAAGTAACTCGTAGATAAATTATTTTAGGCCTTTATTTGTTAGGTTGCTACACAGAGCTGCAAAAGCATCAACAACACATTTCCTCAAAATACAGAGTTTACAAGTTTTCTGAGCTCCCTGATGTTTGCAATCTATTCCAGTCTCAATGTCCTCTAATTTTACATCAATCATCTAATGATCTAGATTGCCCATTGCTTGTAGCTATCTTTTCATGTTTTATTTGGTTAAAGGAAAATCAGCTTTACATTGTGAAAATGCATACTGTTAGCGAATTGTGAAATTGTGAGGAATTGTGCTGTAATTACTGAATATTGGCTCTTCATGAACATGTTGCTTAAACGTGGGAAGATCTGCCAGGGGAATTAAGTAGTCCATCGTTACAGCAACAATTGTGGAAATCAAGTGAGATGTGGAACCATTTTTGATTGCCTTAAATGGCACATTTATATATGCCAGCAAGAATCTATGCTTCTATGTAAATTGAAAAAAGGAAATGAAACAGTCTGTGGATGTGGACTCTCTCGGGTTGAATGTAGGTGGATCAGCTCGTACTTAACATCTGTTCAGGCTGGAAATGCAGGGGAAGTTTAATATGTTTACTCAATCATACTGATTTCCTGGGTTCCAAGGCAAAAAATCTAAAACATATGACTTCTGTTCACACTATGTGGGAGCTATTCAGAACAAAGATGATGATCCTGGAAGAAAATGTGGAGATGCTACCTCGGGTGCCAGCACAGTTGGACTTCTTTGCTGCCAGCAATCAACAGCACTTAAACATCAACATTTCAAGCATTTGTCGACCAGTGTACCAAGTAACCTCTAAAAACATTTAAGAAGAAATAGAAGATAACACTAGATTATTTCTAACATATCCAAAGAATATCAACATGTGGTCTCAAATCCTTTACATTCCCCATCCCTATAACTCAAAACAAAATCATAAATGCATTTAATGGAGCATTCCAATCCACATAGTAGTTTGTGGAGTTAAATTTCAGACTCCCTTTTTGAAAATTTTCTTGCATTCCTAAACATGTTAGCTAGCCAGGACAACATGTGGATATAGCAACAAAAGTGGGGAGTCATGAAGAAAGCAATTTATATGTAATATATTTCTGTCAAAACTTTATGAAACAAAAAATTATAAAACAAAAATTAATCTTAGAAGAAAGTCTTATCAAATTCTATATAATTATTTTACATCAATACACTTGGTCTCTAATTAGTTAAAAGGAAGATTATGCAATGCCCAGAGTTTTTGTTTTATGGTTATTTTTCAATTTAAATTCTCCTATTCCCCAAGATGTCCTTGTTTTAGTTGGTAAGACAATAAGACAGTAGCTGCAATTCAGTGGATTTAAGTACTTTACCATATTCTATAAAATATACAAGGAGACGTCAGAAGAAACACAATTATTTCTGTCTGGGGAAATACAGAAAGGTGTCACAGAGTTGGCATTTGAATTGGATATTGGAAGATGAATGGAAATGCACTAGCTGGAGAGGAAGAGAATATAATGGACTGAAGGACAGTCCTTTCCAAAAATCAAGAAAGCCTTAAAAGGTATGGGGATTTTAATAATTATTTCAGTTGGAATTATAGGTATGTTGAGTGCAGGGATAAAATTGAAAGAAAGAGGTATGGCTGAGAGGTTAAATGGGAAATTATTGTCAAGGGCTATTGATGTCAAACTAAGAGGATTACATTTTACCTAAAAGACTTATGTTCTTTTAAGCGGTTGTAAGACTATTTCCTTTTCCCCATTCTTATGTTTTCCATATTTTCTTCCTCCTTGCGAAACATTTTACCACCGTCACCCACATTTCCCTTTTCATACGGTACTAAAATGTTACTTTTGCCCATAAGCACAATGAATGAAAACATTCTCGGAAATACACTCAAAAGAACTATGTATATTTTGTTTGAAATGGAAAACCGTAAGTAGATACCTTTATAGTAATAAATTACATTTTAACAGGTGAGTTGCAGAGAAAATAGCAGGTGCTACAAAAGTAGCAAAGGGGGATGGGGAAGTTTGTAATTTCTAAGGAATACCCTAAATATCTTTATTTAGTAATTATCCTCTAGATGTGGTAGACTGACTTAACTGGGCAATGCATTTCAGAAATATGGCTTACAGAAGTCAGATATTTAGGATAGTTACATATAAATAAAATGCAAAGATAATAAAATAAGGCATCATTATATACACAGATGGAAGCTCTATAATTACAATTATATTTGTAAAAGTATATTAAGTATTTAGTTGACTAATAATAAAATTATATTTAAAAAACACTTACTTAAATGACATGACTTGTATAAGCAAACTGTTGTGTAGTAACTTACTTAATATCATATACATTTGTTTGACAAGCAAATAGAGAAAGTTACAATGTAAATTTTAACATATATCTTATATATGTATGTCTATCCACTTTGAAAGTAGATGAATATATTTAGCTTAAAACAAAACAGGATAAAGATAAATCAGTCTATCAGAGAAAACAACTAATGACAGAAAAATAAGAAATCCATAACAGATATTAAAGGTTGCCTTCTCTGTCATTACACGTTATGAGTGGTTCTCATATTTACCAAGGAACCAAGGAAAAGTACCAGTTTGTAAAGGTGGGACATACTGACTATAAAACTTAAGACTAAAATCAAACAAAACCAAATCCTGCATGTTCTCATTTATAAGTGGAAGCTAATCACTAGGTACACAGGAACACAAAGAAGGAATCAATAAACACTGGGGACTCCAAAAGAGGAATGAAAGGAAGGGGAGGGAGGACCGAAAAACTGCCTATTTGATACTATGCTCACTATGTGGGCGACAAGATCAATTGCATCACAAGCCTCAGCATCACACAATATGCACGTATAACCAATCTGCACATGTACTCCCTGAATAAAAATGAGAATATAAGAAAATAAAAATTAAGCAGGATTTTTCTAAAGAGTTTCAGTTTGAAATGACTCTGATAGAACTTAATGAATAGCACACATATAATCACCTAAATTAACAAGCAATGATAAATAAATATTAATTATACATTATTTTAACCAAGCTGAGAGTTCACGTTTTGAGGGAGGAACAAATTAGCTAAATTCTGTTTGGTGGGGCTTTTTTTTCCCCATAAAAAGGCAAATTCTTAAGCCTATAAGTAGACCTCTGTTATTTTCAATGTATTAAAAATACTAAAGTTGTTTTATTTTATACCGACCTTGTAGCATTTAAATTATTTTAAGCTAGAAAAAGAATGACATATGAGTTTTTAAAAATTTTATCAGCTATTTGTTTTGGGTTTACTCTAAATACTTCATAACATACCCGGGACCTAAATGTTCTAATACTGAACCAAAACGTGTCAATAACCAATATGGTGCTCAAGATATGGAAGTGCTGGATGACTAATATCAGCACTTTATTACTAATATTAATCATCATCAGTATTTCAATACTAACTGCAGTGCTAGTTAGAAATCAGTTTGTTGTAACAAGTAGTTACAAAATATGCTGTGGTAACAACAATTAGGATATGTCATGTGACTTCCAGTCACATACAAAACATGTATGCAAGGTAATTCAAAAATTGAAGTTGTTTAAAAATATGCATATATTTATTGAGTTTAAATGTTCTTACTTTTCATTATGAGAGTAATTATATCATCAGGCTAAATCCACATATCTTAATAAACAAATGAATTCTTAGAAAAAATCCCAAGTACAAGAATGAATTTTATTGTGAGTGAGTGCTGTTTCCTTGAATTTGGACAATCTGTATATTTAAAACCTAATTTTGAAAAGGATTCCAATTTTATGTTAATCTTTACATGCTTGAATCTAAAATTATGTGTTATAATACTATATGACTTTGAAGGTGTGTTTCTTTATATAACAAATAAATTATATTTACAGATGCATACCTAGAGAGAATAGATATCTGTAGGTACTTCACAATTAACAGGGATACTGCATTTGAGAGAGAGAGGGAGAGATGGAGACAGATAGACAGAAAAAATACGAGGCAAGATGAGAGAGAGAATCCCATAACAACCTTCAGAGTAAAAAACAGAATGTATATTTTCCTCTCCAACATAGACTATTTCCTCTATACTGTCTTATAATTGCTAATGGAGAACTATAATCTTTTCCTAAATTAAAGTCAGTAAAAGGTAAATTTTAATTTAATTTTTTTTAAATTTTATTTTATCTTCATTTCTTTTCAAGTACTCTTCCTTTTTTAATGTAGATCTGAGTTTTCTCTCTTTTCTTATTGTTGTCTTTTGTTTTGTAGAGATGGAGTGTCACTAGGTGGTCCACGCTGGTCTCCTGGCCTCAAATGATCCTCCTGCCTTAGCCTCCCAAAGTGCTGGAATTACAAGCATGAGCCACTGCACCTGGCTGAAATGTCCACTTTCGATCGCCAGTACTGATAGCTCTACATGATACTTAAGCTGAAGTCTGGCATAAAAACGACATATTACACAGGATATAGGATGGTATAACCACATATTAAAACAAATTTTAAATTGATATCTTTATTCACATCAAAACAAAAGATATCTAAAACATTTTCATTCTTCCATTTAAGTAATCAAGTTGAAAACATTAGACTTTTCTTAACCAAAGTATAACTGTTTTTCATTAAAGATATTCCTTTTCAGCTCTTATCCATATAGGGTTGAACTGTTTCCACAAAAATTGTGGATAATTTTAACCTATGGCAGGAAGCAGGGGAAGGCCAGTGAAACAGCATTATCATATAGTGAGTGTCTTGCTCAGTGAAGTAACTCTTAAAGAGAAGTGTCTGCTGAGAGCCAGCCAAATCATTGTCGACTCTGAATCTGTCAGGCAGTTGAGTCTTCCAGGTTGTTATTCAAGTTCTCTTTTGAATTTAGGGAATTCTGGGCTGAGCAAATGCCTTTCAGAATAATTCAAATTTAAGTGTATTGTCCAGCTCACTGTTTCCATTACATGAAATAATCATGGTTTGGTGAATAAGAGCAAAATTGGAAGTGAAAAATGCTCATACAGTTAGGTCTGTATAGATTTCAGCCTCTGACACTGTCAAGGAATTTTTCCAAGAAGTTTAATTTGTTTACCTATAAACTAGCAGCAGTAAAAGGTACTCTTGTTCTCAGCAAGGCTGTTTTAGGAATCAGATGGAACACATATGTTAAAAGTGCATTTGAAATAAAAATGTATAACGACACGGTTTTAATTCTCCCAAGATTTTTGAGAATGTTAAGTTAAAACATCAGCAATTATAATTATCAACTTGGATCCAACAAAGCTCATAAGAAGATACATTGGCCATCATTAATTCATCCAATTTGAGTCATTCAACTATTCACTGAGCAACTATGATGTATAAGTGAATATCTTTACAATTAATGTACTAAAAATCAAAAAGAAGAATAGCTAATAGGACTAACCATGTTGAAATATGGTTAACTGCCTTAAAGGAAATACAGTTGGCTCTTGAATAACACAAAGTATTAGGAGTGCAAACCCCTGCACAGTTGAAAATGTGAGTATAAATTTGACTCCCTAAAAACGCAACTAGTTATAGCCTAATGTTGACAGGAAGTCATACTGAAAACTGAAAGTCAATTAACATATATTTTGTATATTATATGTGTTATATATTTTTTACAGTAAATAATGCTGAAGAAAAGAAAATTATAAGAAAGAGAAAATATATTTACTACTTATTAAATATAAGTGAATCATCATAAAAGTCTTCATCCTTGTTGTCCTCATGTTTTGTAGACTGAAGAGGAGGAGGAAGAGGGGGGATTGGTCTTGCTGTCTCAGGAGTGTCAGAAGCAGGAGAGGTGGAGGTGTTGAAAGGAGAGGCAGGGGAGTAGGCACCCTTTTAACTTTTATCGAAACAAAATTCATTTACAAGTGGACACACACAATTTAAACCCATTTTCCAAGGGTCACTGTAGATAGAAAATTTTCTGGGTTTGGAAAACAATATCATTTTGTTAGACCAAGACACTTTTAGCAACGAGAATGAATTTGAAATGCAAATCATTTTATTCTTTCAATCAGTTCAGAAATCTACACCTTAAATACGTTGTCATTCAAGACCTGTCTCATCAAATTCACCTCATATTACTCCTTCTACATCACACATCACTCAGAATCTTGTTACTGTATTTAGTAACTTTAGTACTAGTAACTTTAAGTTCATGGGTACACATGCAGGTTTGTTACATAGGTAAACTTGTATCATGCGGATTTGTTATACAGATTATTTCACTACCCAGTTATTAAGCCTAGTACCCACTAGTTATTTTTCCGGCTTCTCACCTTCCTCCCAGCTTCCACCCTCTAAAAGGCTCCAGCACATGTTGTTCCCCTCTATGAACTTGTCCTTTGCTAGGGAAAATACAATATACAGTTATCTCTGACAAAGGCTTGAGTATGCTTTTCTGAATATACACTACTTATTTTAGAAATCATATAAAAATATAGAAAAATTGACACTCCTTTTTAATAATAGAGAATCCTAACCATTGTTCTTATATAGACAACTAACCAGACTTCACATGAAAGTGTGAAATGTTTAATATAGTTTTGAAAAGCGAAGATTGAAAAATAATACAGAAATAATGATATGAAGCTGTGCAACTTTTGCTTTGAGCTATTTGACCCAAGCAGTGAGTCAACGATTTCAAGTAATGTTTATTTCTTCTTCTTTTTTTTTCTTCTTGGGGTAACTATAAAAAAATAAAAAAGAATTCATAAAAATTGTAATGTATTAGTCCATTATCATGCTGCTATAAAGCACTCTTGGACACTGGTAATTTATAAAGAAAATAGGTTTAATTGACTCACAGCTTTACATGGCCATGGTGGCCTCGGGAAACTCACAATCATGGTGAGGGCATCTCTTCACAGCATGGCAGGAGAGAGAATGAGTGCCAAGCAAAAGGGTGAGCCTCTTATAGGACCATGGGATCTCTTGAGAACTCACTATCACAAGAACAACATGGAAAAAATCACCCCTGTGATTCAATTATCTCCACCTGGTCCCACCCTTGGCATGTGGGGATTATTATAATTCAAGAGGAGATTTTGGGTGAGGAAACAGAGCCAAATAATATCACCTATGAATCAGATTTTGTTTGTTTGTTTGTTTGCTCTTTTAGGTTCTACTTTTATTTCCTTCTGTGTAAAAGTTTCACACACCTTTTAACTCAGCACACACTCAGCTTCTCCCATGTTGGTCTCTAATATGGGTCAGTCTTTGCTTCACATGTTTCTCCCTATTCTGGATTTATATCCCTATTCCATTTCTCTGACTTTCAGCATTTTGTTTCTTAGTCAATGTCACCTACTTTTAAACGAAGTTAATTACCATCTGAGACAGTTTGATTATTGTTCCTTTGGTCCTTGGGTAGATCAGTCTTTAATCTGTGTAACTGTTTTGAAACATAGTCTCATAAATGTTCTTGAAGATAATTATAGTTTCAGCTTCACTCTATTTATGGAGAGATGATACAAGCACACACACTCATACACACAGGACTCTTAATTTTCTTATCTTTATGAATGTTATTTCCAACCAGCACTTCTAAATCTTGATGTAACTTCTAGCACTTTTTTATTTGTTTTTCCCTTCAACCTGAGCCACCACAATTCCTTTTATTCTCATTTCTGTGCCTACTCAGGATTTTATGAACTAACTACTGGATTTGCTCAATGGGCTCCTGCTGACTCAACATTTGAAGACCTGCCTTTATAATCAATCAAAACCATCCACATCCGGATCACTTTTAGAAATACAACCTTGATCATGTCTTTCACTTTTTAAAACCCTTCAGTTTGTGACCTCTGCTTATGATCCAAGGCCCAACCTCCTTTTTCAGACATTGATAGTTCTCTAAAGTCTAGCCTGAACGACCCTTTCTATTCTTATTTTTCCTATGTTTGAAGAGACCTCTTACTTCTCTCAAAACAGCTCATGGTTTTCTGGGTCCATCTTTACATTTTTATTATTGTGTATCTGTTTATAGTTTCCCCTAGAACTCATTTTTACTTCTCTTTTTTAAGAAGTCTTTTTTATATCAAATTTTCAATAAGAAGTTCTGGATAATCACCCTATGAAGTACTCGCTCATGTGAAAGAGGAAGTTATAGGAACAATAAATAAAGTCACAGTTAAATGAATGCTATAGTTGGGGATTTGATACAGGAAACTAGAGTGCCATGCACTAAGTTAACCCTGCTACGTGTATCTTTCCTCAACTGAATTATAATTCCTTAAGGTCACAGATCACATATGACCTTCTTCCTCTTCTTTATTTCTATTATTCCTTAACAATCTTTCAAATAAAAATTTCTCAGTGTATTGTATTACTATTTGATCACCAAAGTATTAAGGTATATTCTATAAATGCAAAGCTCTTGGTAGAATTCTTTTGAATTTGTTCTGATTCAAGAAAGCCTTACAAAGATACATAAAATTTTTCCATTTTATAGTTTTACGTCATAATTAATTAATTGTCCAAATGATTATTGAGGGATATAGAGTGTCAGGCACTCTTCGAAGTTCTGAGAAAATGGCAGTGGGGAGAAAAAGTTCCTGCTCTCAGTAGATTATGCACTTTCCTTGACATTTAGCTAATTTTACAACTACATTCGTTGACTAACATGTGTCTTTACTCTCTATATTTCTTGATCTTGTGTTCTGTACATTTGCATAGTTTATATATCCCCAGTACAAATATTATCTCCCTTTTCCATCCCCACAAAGAGGCACCACTAATCACAAATTTAACACAGTAGACAATATCAATAAATACAGTGTTAGTGAACATCATCTATGAAATGCATACATATAAATATTATCATGGATATAACTTTATAAATTAACCTGGCATCCAGATAGCTCTCTCCTCTGTATATACAAACTATTTTACTTGAAATAAATATTTTTTCCTCTTATGAGATTCATTAAAAGGAAGAAAGTCTTGCTCAAAGTCTTAAAGTTCTCAGAGTTTCTGTTGATCAAACATTTCCTGAGCTCAAGAAGGGTCTTTTTTTTTTTAATTGTACTTTAAGTTCTGGGGTACATGTGCAGATCATGCCGGATTGTTGCATAGGTACACACATGACAATGTGCTTTGCTGCCTCCATCCCCCGTCACCTATATCTGACATTTCTCCCTATGTTATCCCTCCCTGACCTCCCCACCCCTCCACTGTCCATCCCTTGGCACCCCTCAACAGACCCCAGTGTGTGATGTTCCCTTCCCTGTGTCCATGTGTTATTGTTCAACATCCACCTATGAGTGAGAACATTCGTTATTTGATTTTCTGTTCTTGTGTCAGTTTGCTGAGAATGATGATTTCCAGATTCATCCATGTCCCTACAAAGGACACTAACTCATCACTTATTATGGCTGCACAGTATTCCATGGTGTATATGTGCCACATTTTCCCTGTCCAGTCTATCGTTGATGGGCATTTGGGTTGGTTCTAGGTCTTTGCTGTTGTAAGCAGTGCCACTATGAACCTACGTGTTCATGTGTCTTTATAACAGAAATATTTATAATCTTTTGGGAATATATCTAGTAATGGGATTGCCGGGTTAAACGGAATTTCTATTTCTAGGTCCTTGAGGAATCGCCACACTGTCTTCCACAATGGTTAAACTAGTTTACACTCCCACCAACAGTGTAAAAGTGTTCCTATTTCTTCACATCCTCTCCAGCATCTGTTGTCTCCAGATTTTTTTAATGATCGCCATTCTAACTGGCATGAGGTGATATCTCAGTGTGGTTTTGATTTGCATTTCTCTAATGATCAATGATGATGAGCATCTTTAGAATGACTTACCATTTAAACTGTAGAGGTATATTTCCAGAAACAGTTTGTGTTTTCTAAAATCAGTTTAACTTACGTTAAAATTTTTTGCACACATGCTGAAATGATAAAAAAAAAGTGTCATGTACTTTTATTAGTCTATCAATTGTCTCTTTGATATTAATTACCTTTAAAAAATACAACAGAATGTATTCAGCCCATGGGTCAGTAAATTTCAATATGTCAGAATAAGTAATTTCAATGTTAGTATCAACTTGTTATGAGGAGGAAAATAACGTTTAGGTCATTTTGACCCTGACGTCATTCCTGACTGCTTTCTTTCTCTCACACTGTTAACCAGTTAAGTAGCAAATCCTTTCAGAATTACCTTTCAAACAGATGCAGAATCCAAACATTCTCACAATTGCCACTACTCCAAATCCAGTTAGAGCCACGATAATTTCTAACCTCGTCTTAAACAGTCTAATATGTCTCCTGCTTCTAGGCTTACAGGTTTATACTTTCCATAAACCACAATGAATCTTTTAAAATATGAAACAATGACGTTACCCCACTGTTTCAAGCCCTGCATGGCTTCCCACAGCATGTGAAATAAAATCCCAAGTATTATGAAGGATTTTATGTTATTCTTGGTCCCTTACCACCTCTCTGATATCATCTGTGATTACCACTCCCCTTTCTTCAATCATACTGGTCTCCTTGTTATAGATCCAAGGCTCCAAGCATGCCTTGGCCTGCCCTAAAGCATTTGCATACATTCTTTCCATGGCCTAAAACACCCTTTTCCCAGAAAGTCATTTGCTTGGCTCCTTTGTTTCCTTCTGTTTATATTTAGGTGGCACATTTTCAGAACAGGACTTCCTGGATCAAGTTATCTATACTTTCTTCCACATTTTTTTCACCATTATCAAAGTATCATCACTTGTCTCATATGTTATTATTTAACTTGGTGATTATTTATTTGCTTTTCTTTTTATCCCTGCTACCT